TAGGATAACATAAATATAAATAAATATCCTGTTAACTTACACAAATGAATAACATTTATTCATTAACAATTTGTTAGTAACAAGTTTTCATATCCATAACAAATATCATTATAATTATCATTATTCTCCAAAACAACGCAAATTAGACTCTTAGATATTTGAAGTGTGAAAGTAAGATAGGAAAATAAAACATTTTACATTCACTGTTTTTATTATACAAAGGTTCCCAAGCAACTGAAACAACCAACAAGTTTTTCAGCTCAAACATTTTACTTTGCTTTTTAATCTCCAAATAAAGCAAGAGGAAACCAACATAAAAATTTCTCTGTTTGGGTTTTGTCATGACTATTTCTTCTATTTGTATGTTGTTATTATCAAACCACTGACACATGGAAGAATAGATTACCCTCAAAGGCACAGAAAATAAACCTTTGTCATTCCTATGAAATTTATTTTCAAACCTCCTGACATTAATGGAAGAGATATAAAACAAGTTGGATTGTAACAACGTTAAATTAAAAATGTCAAATAAGACATTCATATTTACATTTCGCTGACAATAAAATTTCGGTTATGTTTTTTTTTCTTTAATAGGACTAATACGTCATATTTCTTTTCCTTATATTCTTTCATTCTATCTCTATCTCTCTACCCATCTGTCTATATGGCTTCAAATATTTGCACTCCTAACATGCAATGGCGATAGAGATGCTTGGAAGGCTTGTGCCTTTGAGGGTAACCACCGCTTCTATGAGTCACTGGTTGGTATGTATGATTTTTGATAGAACAATGGTGACTCTAAGTTTCTGATTCCCCTTTTCTTTTCGCATATTTCTACATATTTTGGCAACCATATCCATATTTTGGCAACTTATTTCTTTAATTGCATTGTATTCTTCACCAAACTATCCATAAAAAAAAATCAGATCTAGAAGCAATAGTAGGATCACAACACAAACTCTAATACCTGTATGAATCACCGCACAAATGCACAATAGCCGAGCTAAATGTCTAAAAAAAAACCCTTATATAAGTAATGAAGCAAGAATATTGAGCAACGAAGCAAGAAGATCACGCATCGGTAGCCAAACAAGCAACCAAGCAAGAATATCGAGCGCAAGAATACCGAGCAATTGACTATCCGAGGAGAAACATAAGATATTTTAGTAGACGAACAGAAACGGCAATCCCTAAGCTCTCGCCGCCGAAACTCTTTCGTGAGTTTGAGTGGAGAAGCAAATGACTCGAAAGAGGAAGAGAACCGAAACAAAACCTTCGAGAGCAGGCGAATACAAGCGGCAAACCCTAAGCTCTCACCGTCGAAAACCTTTCGCGATTTTGAGAGGAGAAAGAGTCGGATGAGGAAGAGATTCGAGCTTTCGAGAGCGGAGGCTAGAGAGTGGAGAGGATTAGAGTTTCTTTTGATATAAAGTTATATAAATATTATATTATAATATTTATAAGTAATACTAATATATTAATATTAATAATTTGTTATATATTATAATTTATATAACTTATATTATATATAAGTATATTACTAATTTAGTATATTAATATATTATTATTTTTAATTTATTATATATTATAATTTATAAAATTTAATTTTTTAAAATATCATAAATTTTGTATATATAATTATTTTAAATTATTTTATATTTCGAACAATAATGATTCGAGCACGAACGAACTCATCACTGTTCGTGTTTGGTTCGTTTAACAAACCGAACGAAAAAAATTATTCATGTTCGTCTTGTTTACTTATCGATCGAATCAAACATAAACTTCTTGACGAATCGAACAGGAACTGTTCGTGAACAACGAGTTTTTTTGACAGCCCTAGACACAACTCCTCAACATTGATTTATTTGGTAGCGGGATTGCGGACGACACTAAACGGACACAAATTGGTCGCTAATTTTGCATCGGGTTTATTTTCAAATCAATTTTGACGCTAATTCACAGTATTCCCGTATTGATATCCGATGAGTTTCTCTAAAGATTACATTGTAGATCACACACATAGGGATTCTTTGTATCTACCTGACCTCTGGGTGACCGAACAGACCCTTGGTCGGGTTGCACAGCTTTAATAGATAAAATAATTACTACCGGACAAATTTTAGATTTATTTATCACTTAAATCTGTGCCATATTGAAAATAATACTGGGATTTACTCTGCTTTCCCAAAGAAATCATCTTAGCCGTTGACATGTGGAAACTTAATCCAATGTTGCTAATATAAACTCTATAAATCTGAAGAAGAATTTTCTCCTCTGACATATCTTCATTAATTCTATTTCAACACCATGTTTTTGCATCTTTTCTATTAGTGGTACATGTCCAAACTCTGAAGTGTATTTCCTAAAATATTTTCTACAGTACTTCTATTCTTACCATCTATCTAGTAAAATTAATTTGTGTTCTGGTCATTTCAGATTTATCACTCTTCCATATTAATATTCTTCATCCTACAATATTCTACTTTATTACTCATACAAGTTACCCACCTCAAATATAATCATATTATTTCCCAAATCAAACAATTTGTATTGTTTGATTTATAGAAATAAATAAATATAGTGTTAGTAATTTAGTAAACTCTTTTAGATGTCGAATAATAAGTTATTTACGTGAAAACATATTATTATCTCAAGTTCTTGACTACTCACTTTGATTTAAATAATTTTCTTTGTAAGTATAAAAATATTGAAATTTACTAATAAAATGTACGTTAACATGAAAACATCTTAAGCCTGCAATAAGAATCTCTATGACATTTATTTTTAATTTGATATCTAACTCATGTTATGTATTATTCAATCTTAATTTACCATTGGCTTTATTTATTTGATTCCTGAGGACATATTATTAATCTAATGAACTATATTTCACGCCTTTCAATGTGTATACTACAGCATTTTCGACAAATGTGCTTTGGTTTTATTTTCTTATTAGTCAATTTTTGATAAAACAAATTGTATTCAAGTTTTATTTTGAATTCCTTTCCTTAGAAAATATTGGATATTCTTTTTATCATGTCATTTAGCTTTTCAGGTCTTTTGGAAACTTAACTGAAATAGCGTCTACACGCACTTCTGATTGATGCGTTTAATCAGACAAGCAGATTTAGGTTTTCCATAAATCAAATTGTGCAATTTCAATTATGATTATGGTTGCGAACAAATTAGTGCACTTAATAAGCAACTCAATACTCATTTATAGGCTCGCTTATATTTTTTTATTTAGATAACTGAATGAGTTTGAAAAAAAATTTTAAAATTTGAAATATAAATGAAATAACTAGTCATTTATGTTCTTGAAATATGTTCAATACTTGTATAACAAAGAGCTGAATAAAATTCTTATTAAATAATGACTTGGTTATTTGATAATTTATTTTATGTAAGTGATGCACCACAACTTTAACCCACGGTGGCAGACAAGTAAGCAAGGGTGGATTTTGATGTTAGTTAAGTGAGACATCGCTACTTGTTCTATTGAGGTGAAAAGTAGCAAGGATTGGTTTGATTTGGAAGTACTAAATGGGATTATTTGTGAATTGTAGGCCACTATGATAAGAAGAATAATTATTATTTGTTAAGGAACTGAATGAAAGGAGAAATTGATGGATATTGGGGATGGTTATAAATTGCTCTATGTTAGAAGTTTAACAATCGAACTTGGTTTTATATAGCAATGAATAAAGAAGTTGAAATATAAAATTGTTAAGGTTATTGTATTTGATGATAGATTGATTGCTATTAAGATAATTATCCATGGGAAAATTATGAATGTGGTCAATGCTCATGCTCTGCAAGTTAGAAGTTTAACAATCGGACTTGGTTTTATATAGCAATGATATAAAATTGTTAAGGTTATTGTATTTGATGATAGATTGATTGCTATTAAGATAATTATCCATGGGAAAATTGTGAATGTGGTCAATGCTCATGCTCTGCAAGTTGGATTAGAAGATAGTTTAAAAATTATTTTTTGAAAGATGTGATCAAATTACTAAAATATATATACTGTTTGAATAATTTATATTCAAACGAGCATTTTGGTTGCAGTAGGATGAGTTTGAAATGATTCAAAGTGGTTATGAAATAGGAGATAAAAAATATAACAAAAGAAGTGAAACTTGTTTTTTATCTATCTTATGATCTTGAAATAACAAACACATATTAATAAAGGGGTTTTTACATACTTAGCATCCAAAACTTTCATATTTACTTATGTCACACCAAAACTTTCATAATTATAAACAACATATGAAAAGTAGCTTTCATTATCACATTTTAATAGTCAAATCTATATTTTCATCCTGAGAATCAAAATTATCCTTTTTTCGCTCCTAATGCCATCTTTTTTATTTGTCCATCTAAATATTCCCAAAATATATACTTTGAAACCTTTTATAAGCCTATATAATCATATCTTAGATGAATAACTCCTAACTTATCCTCCTAAACCAACCCAAAACATGAATTGGTTCATGCCTTCCTATAACCTACCTGAACCATGAGCCATTCCGGGACGGAAGGATGAATAATAAAAAATATATTAATAATTGCCCCAACCCAAAAACCCTTGGCCAATCTTTGACTTAAACCCAAAACCTTAGGCCAACTTGAACCAACCCAAACCCAAATCCTAAACTGGCATAAACACAATCAACAAAGCCAAACCTAGAACCAACCTGTACCACGAGCTATGTGTGCATGGATGGATGAATAATAAAGGGGAAAAAGTGCAAGAAACATTAGGAAAAAAAAGAAGTGATATAGGTCCGTTTGATTTGCACAGCCGATTTGGTTTTGTTATCTCTTAAAAAAAAAACGGCTCAACAATTTTTACAGTGTGCCTTAGATTGTGTAGAGGGTCCAAGGGCATTGTTCTTAGATTCAATTTCTAATCGCATGATTACTTATATTATTAATAAATATTATTTATTTAATTACTTAATGCCATTTTACCTTCATTATGACCATTGCAGATGGAATTAAAGCAGAATTGCATGATGGATCATTATTGATATTGACAGCGGTCACTTTGGCATGCGTTTCTCTGGCTGCTGTACAATGACCATACCTGTTGTATGGCACTGGGAAGAAGCATTACGTAGAAACAGGTTTGCAGAAATTAGTTCACCACATGAACAGATGAAGGCGTGGACATGTTACTCCCCTATAGAGTCATAACCCGCATGACACGTAGGACTAATTATACGAGCTGAGGCAAAGTATATGTTAAGTGTAGATAAAATTATATATATTTTATCGGCCAGTAGCTGCGAAGTTGGCAGCTCTCTTATCTCAAATATCGTCAGTTATTACCTTTTATTGTTCTCGTCGAAGGCTGAGAACTCGCTGGCAGCATTTGGATTCTCTTTAATTTACATTTTCATCGAGTGTAAAGAGAACAATATAATGTAATAAAAATGGCAAAATAATTCTGTGACTTTTTTAGATGTCATCTCAATACTAGTTTGTAAAAATATTAATTTAATCATCAGATCTAGTCATCGGGTTATTCTGATGATTATTTCAGCTCAATATTATAGGAGATCGGGGATTAATTTAGTATTTTTATGGACTCTGAGATTAAAGTGATGTAATGCTATTTCAAAATTTTCTTGTGATATCAAAATCAAGATGCTTGTATTGACTATTGTTAGAAGATGTGGCTGATCACCATATAGGATGTGTTTGTTTGGACATTTGAAACCACATTTTGGGCTAAAGTAAAATTTCATGCATTTGTTTGCTGCTTCAAAAGCAATGGCACGGCAAACGTAATGCTCTTTTTTCGTGAATCTAAGGAAGCAGGAGACTTTTTGCGTCCCATGGCTTGGAAAAGGCCATCCGAAAGGGAGCGCTATTTACGTACATCATGTGCACGGAGTTCTGCGTGCGTATGACCCCGAATAATATTTTAATAACTCAGTTATTGGGAATTATTAAAAAGGTTTTTGACGTTATTGACCCCAACATCTCAATAACCCATCATGTGCACGGAGTTCTGCGTGCGTATGACCCCAAATAATATTTTAATAACTCAGTTATTGAGAATTATTAAAAAGGTTTTTAGCGTTATTGACCCCAACATCTCAATAACCTCTCAATAACCTATCAATATATTCTGTGGTTTGGCGTTCATTTTTTTCCTGTCATTTCAAGAGTTTTGTAAAGTTATTGAGTATATTAACCTCAATAGTAGCGACACAATCCAGCAATATCCTTCAAATAATATTCATACGCATGTAATTTTGTGTGTGTATGACGTATGTAAATATTTTCCCCCAAAAGGGGTATGTGGTATTGATAAGATTGGCATGTATCTATATATTTAGCTAAACATAACAAACATGTCACAAAATTCTTATATTTATAGATATACAATTTATAAAGCATATCATAGAATTTGTAGATATAAAATTTATAAAGTGTAAATATAGATATTAAAATATATTATTAGATCAAATTTATATATTATGACATTACACATACCACAAAATTTAATAAACACACACATACACACAATCACAACAAATAATTAGATTAAATTTTTGTACAAGATTATAAATATAAATTAATAAATTCTTTTTTAATCAATAATATTTATTTTTTCAGAGTTCACATTAATAACAATAAAAAATAATATAATATTATTTCAATTGGACATTTTTCCGTATAATATAAACCAGCATTTTATATATTTAACTTTCAAAAATGAATTTTTCAAACAGATTTTTCTGAAACATCAGTTTCCGAACATCAAATTTTCAATAGTTGATTATGAACTGATTTTTTTTACAGTAACAGCTGAAACAAACAAATCCTTAGTCGTATAGTGAAATCATATTGAATGGTGCTATTATGAAGCTTGAGATATCCCAAAGTTTGATCAGTGGTAGACTGTGATCCGTATGCTTGGTCTGAACAAACTGAAACCAAATGATAAATGCACAATTGAAGATTTAGAAGCGTTGGAATCATTACAAGAATCCTGGAGTTTTTTTTTTTTCATAAAGATTTACATACATACCACTTTTACATATCTAACAACATATGGAAGCTTACTTATGCATAGAAAAGGTGCATTTCATTTTTTTTTAATTA